AAAGTCGCGAAACACTGTGTTTTTCTAATGGTTTGAAGCTCCGGAGGGTCGAAAAGTAGGCTCGCTAAAGCGGCGGGTGCGGAGCCAGCTGGCCAGATGAGAGATGAAAAATTGCACGCCGTTGTGGCGCCAAGCACATTTCGAAGCGAAAATGTCCAAAACACCTCGAGTGTCGGACCACTTTTGCAAGTTGAGATGTCGAAGTCAAAATGTACAGAACACTTCAGCCTCGCACCACTTTTGGAAGTTGAGATGTCAAAAAAGTGCACGCCGTTGTGGCGCGAAGCACATTTGGAAGTCAAAATGTTAAAAACACTGGGGGTTTGGACCACCCTTGGAGGTTCAGATGTCGAAAAAGTGCACGCCATTGTGGCGCGGAGCACACCCCGAAGTCAAAATGTTAAAAACACTGTGGGTTTGGACCACTTTTGGAGGTTCAGATGTCGCTTCGCTTCGCTTCAGTACACTACACTACATTACGCTACACTCCACTACGCTACACTACACTCCACTACACTACATTACACAACACTACAGCTACAACTACACAACTACACTCCACCATACTCCACTACACTCCACTACACTACATTACACTATACTACACTACATTACAGTACACTACACTACATTACACTACACTACACTACCTTCCACTACACTTCACTACATTACACGAGCGCAGTACTTTAGATAGGTCGAGGAGAAAAATCGGAAAACGCATTGGTACGAGGCTGTCAGCGCTGCACTCAACTTTCCATTTTGGAAGGAAGTCTCGCAGAATTGTTTTGTTTCTGATGCTGTCAAGTTCAAAAATTGGAGAAGTCTCGCAGAATTGTTTCGTTTTGGATGTTGTCAAGTTCAAAACCAGAGGACGTCTTGCAGAATAGCTTCGTTTTCAAGCTTGCAGATAGGTAGACAGACAGACAGACAGACAGATAGATAGATAGATAGATAAATTAGATAAGTAGGTAGGTAGGTAGGTAGGTAGGTAGGTAGAGAAAGAGAAAGAAAGAGAGAGAAAGAGAGAGAAAGAGAGAGAAAGAGAGAAAGAGAGAGAAAGAGAGAGAAAGAGAGAGAAAAAGAGAGAAAGAGAGAGAAAGAGAGAGAAAGAGAGAGAAAGAGAGAGAAAGAGAGAGAAAGAGAGAGAAAGAGAGAGAAAGAGAGAGAAAGAGAAGAGACCTCAACCACCTGTCAGTCCATCAGTGGCTTCGCTCTGCCATCCGTGACTCACAACAACCAACTTCTCCTATAGGTTTCCTATTTTTGAAACTTCCGTCACCGCTTTGTGCGGTACTACTGGTATATATATATATATATGTGTGTGTGATGTTCATAAAACCGTTGATTTATGTATCCATCTATTGTATACTTTGATGTACATTGCAAAATGTAAAAAACTCTGACTGAAGTATTTACTGTACATTTTGTATCATTTCGTTTTGTTTCCAGGGATGCTTTCAAATATATAGAATGCTTCCATCCATCTTTAAATTGGTTCATCTAGGAACACCCATCGAACATTAGCCGGGAGAGGTTCAATAACCAACACATGATTGCCACTATAATTGATTGTCACAGCTACCTCAAATACACCTGAAATAATGAGTTTTTCAGTGGGCAGTTCTCCCTTTAGAGCAACGCAATTGACCCACCAAGTCATGGACAAGATGTTCGCTCCTCTTGGGCCAATATCGGTGCATGGTGAGATCCCCAGTGTTCATTTTTAAAACTGGTAGAGTCCTCTCACTGTGTTGGTTGGGTCGATCCCATGTTCGCTGGTAAAAGCGGTCAAAATTGAAAACCTAACCATCCATCAACTAAACATGTTTGAGGTTGATTGGTTCTATCCGACCAAATCTTGGATTCCTCGACCCAACACAAACCTTTAAACCTATAAGCCTCGCACCGCACCAACATTGCGTCCCAGTCTCACTCGTTGGCTTCGCTGATTTTGGGATGACGAAATCGACATTGGAGATGTGGCACTAGCACCACTACCCATGGCTGGAAAATGCTGGAAAACGGTTGGATCTCGTCTGGATCTTGAGCCCTGAAATTCCGAAAACGTGGCCAGCAAGGCCAAATATGGCTCATCGACCAGTCAAAGGGGCAAAAATCAATTCCTCTGAGATGTGGGTGAGCGTACGTGATGTGCGAAACCTTAGGAGATTGAAAGAGATTTCATCTGCAAACTTCAGTGAAGTTAGTCATGTTGCAGCCAGCCAAGAACGGGGATTCCGACTTACAGAGACACAGTGCAACTGGCAGACCGAAAACCTGCATTCACATTTGTTGAGACTCAACAAAGTGGTTTCACCATTTCAAAACATGGTGATTTGAATTAAACATGGGTATCTGGTTGTGGTAAGTGCAATGACACCTCCAAAAATCCATCAACATGGCTAGTTTAATAATGAGAGTTATCATTGACCGTTAGCCGTTGGATGGAATGGGGCGCCCTCTTTGGAGACAAACCCACATGTGTTTTGGTAGCTGCCTTAAATACTAAAGACACCGGGCACGTCGTGCTATGTTCAAGGTGTGACCGTGATGAAAACCAGTGCCTACCACGAGGAAAGTTCAGTGACCCCAGTAGGGGAGACTTCGACTGCGAAAAATAAATGTAATTCTGATATGCAACAATAATTCATCAGATATATCCTAATATCAGACACTGTACCACTGACTGTACCCCCCAACCCCAGTAGGCTCCCAAAGTGAATAGGGCGCTAAACCAGTTGTTTTTTTGGCACCAAAATGCAGGTGCTCAGGTCTTTCAGGATCCCTACCCGGCCTGGTAAACGTTAACAGAACAACGATGGAACACCCACCATTTTCAATGGGTAAATCCACTATTTCTATGGCAATTTTCAATAGCTATGTTAGTCATTACCAGAGGGTAAATGCCATGGAACCGGAGCCATGTCTTTTTGAGCTGCCCAAAAGTGCCATTGACAAAGCCCAGCCGCAACAGAGACCGCCACTTGAAGGAGAGAAAACCGCCACTTAGATTGGGGGGTATAGTACTTCTAAAACTATATAACTATAGATATTATGAATTGATCTATCTATCCCTCTATCGATCAATCAATCAACCTATTTGTCTATTTATCAATTTAGCCATCTATATATCCATCTGCATTTATCGTCCCATATTCTCCATTCTTAGTTCTTAGATGGTGGGGGGCCATAGTTTTGAATATGAAGCCACTTTGAATGGCATGACGCTGGACCGTCTCTCCTATGTGATGAACCTCCAGGCCTCGAACTAAATTAGATGACTCTGGAAACGCGCCACGCGCAGGCATGATGACTTGATTTCGGAAGCAGTCCCGAATAAAAACAGAAACGCATGCAGAAATTGGGTGTAGTGTAACAGCCATGGCCACAGTCAATGCATTCAGTCGAAGTCAAGTTTTGGGGGACCCTGAATCATGAGGTTTCAGGGTACGCAGTATATTCGCCCGAGAAATATGAGAAGCAACTGGTTCAATATGTTTCAATATAATACATTATAAAATTATATATATATATATATATTTGTACCCTATATGTATAAGTTAAGTATAATATATTATGCAGATAGACCCATGGCAACCATTGAAAACTTGCAGACAATCGAATTGCCAGCTGAGCTTGATGTTCCTCAAATTGTATGAACATTGACGCATTAAGCTGCCATTCACCGAGGTGTTGCTGCTAGTAAAGTTGTCAAATTATCGCCAAATTCCTCTTGTTCAGCTGGTTGCATCATGTTTTTGCGTGCGTCACTCTCAAATCATCTCGCCTATCTGCCCCTATGAGGGCGCCCAGCGAAACAGGCCCCTGCAAGAGTTCGGATCTAGCAGGGCCTGTCTGTTGATGAAAACATGAGATAAACAAACGCCTTTGCCGTTTCGATGCTAAGTGGGCTTTTATGGTGCTTTTGATGGTAATATCAACGATCCACTGCCTTCTGGATTTTCCTCTAATACATGAATGGCAAATGATTCTTGAGGAACGTATGACAAACAAAGCAGGCTTCAGGTCATGAAATTCATGGTTGCCCCACAACATAATTCAGCAGCTTTGTCCTCTTTGTCATTGAGGCCGCTGTCAATTGTCCAGAACCAGTTGGAATTCTTGAAGTTTTGCACATCTTTGTTTGGACAAGGTTGGGGGGGGGGTCTTTGGGACCTTTGCTCTATAAATAATCATCACCTTTTCAGGAGGTTCAGAGCTATTTCACCACGGTGTTTAACGCCAGCGCTATGTCACCATCATTTCAAGTAGTTTTTAACGCATCAAAATGAACAAATGTAGAGAGCCCATTACTGTAGATGTGACATATTTGCAGATTAAACATGTTTTCTGCCTCTTCAGTCTAGATTGCAAACTCATGCCTTCTGCCAACAAGTTGTGGCTCAGCCCGAGGAAGAATGCACCAAACACAAAACATTTCTATGTTAAAACAAATCAAGGAATGCAAACATCTGCGAACTGGGTTTCATGCTCTCCAAGACCCTGAACTCACAGAACTTTGGGAGGCGAGATATGTTTCTCTCAGAAGCGTTCAACCTCGAACCTCCAAATGCCAGAATCACCTTGGCTCAAGGGTCAAAAATTGGAAAGACACAAGTGCAAACTGCCGGTTTCATGTGTTTAGCATTGGTGCGTTTGGATGATGCTCGGGTTTGTGTGAGAGTAGGGCACCCCAAAATGCCATGCTTCATCATCATTAGCCCTGTAGCCATTTTTGTTGGTGGTAAAACCACCATGTCCTTCAAACTTCGCTGAGCTGCATGGCACAATTCTTCCGGAGGTAAGTTGGTCATGAATCTAAGACTATGCCCATGCCTGGTTGGTGTCTAAGTTGCTAAGCACCCACGAGGTCACCATGCCCAAAAAACAACGTGGTTTTGGATGGCGCAACTTAGCTCCGAATTTATCAAATCGGCTTCACTGGGTAAACAAACCACATTCCACACTTGGGATGTATCCGTTGCAACCTTGGCCCATTAGAATTGCCAAGCCAGCAGCCATACAAACAAGAGACAGTCGTAATCGATAAAGCGACATGCGCTGTTTTCTTCCGTCATCTTTTTGATCTTGTCTTTGTACTCCTGAGCCAGTGACTTTTTGAACTGATTTCCGTGTGTACTTTGGATGTGAATCCCCCAGTGATCACTGCAAAAATAAACTTGATGGATCTTGCAGTCCAAGGCTCAAAAGGATACCTTCTCTGTGCGGATTGAAATGTGTTTGGTCTCTAAACCTGACACATAAAAAGGGGTCCATTCAGCGACCAAAACCTGAACCCAGAGTCCAGATCCCACCCTCAAGGCCAACCTTTGACGCCTAAGCGTACCACCCAAGAATTAAGGATTAAGGATTGTTATATAGATGGCCATTTATAGTTGATTTTTCCATTCAAAATGGTGATTTTCCATAGTTACGTTAGTTTACCAGAGGGTAGGGGTTATTAATTATGGGTTATTGGCCTTCATCAACCATCTTCTTTTGGGCTTCGTAAACCCCCTCCTTGGGCAGGTAATTGAAGGGTACCATCCTCAGGTATCTTCAAATATGCCTTGTTATCCTTGTTGGGAAATCCCCGAACAAATTGCAGCAAATCGGGTGCTCATGGGGAAAGTCATCGAAAAAAACAAATTATTGATGTTCGATCTGAGTTGATGATAAAATCTCCTATAAATCACCATGTTTGTTCATGAATTCCCCATAAATCACCGCTTTTGATGGTGTAATTGCCAGGCAAATCGCCAGGCAAATCCCTCTCCTGTGCTTGCTCCTCTGTCTCTACAGGACCGCCTGGTGGAAAGCATTGGTACCTGGGAGTTCAACGTGGGGATTTACCTGGAATTACAGCATCTTTAGACCATAACATGGGAGTGTTTACCCTCTGGTAAACGCTAACAAAAAACTATGGAAAATCACCATGAATGGGCAAATCAACTATTTATATTGCCATTTTCAATAGTATTTTGTATGTTTACCAAAGGGTTATATATGACGTAACGATGGTACTCACTTGTCAATGGGGCCACGGGCCGGAACTCTATGAAGGTTTGACCGAACATAACATGGGATCCACAAAACAGAATCATCCCAAAAGATCACCAAAAGTAGACTTAAAATGTCAGTCATTTCATGTCATTTCCCAATTTTTGGGGTTTCTTCTTGGGTCGTTAGCCTGTCGTTAGCTGATGAATTGCCAATGTTAGCTGATTGAAGTCCATTCATCTATTCTACACATCGCTCCGATCCCCATTTTTACCGGACGATGATGATAAGAAGTACCCATCCAACCGAAAAAAACACCACCCTATCCATAAACCTCATCACCATATGATACTTCACCCACTCCAAAATGCGGCAACGGCGACGCCAAGGTGCATGGTGACCGTGGCGCGCTTGTTTAAGCCCGAGCCCTTGGGTGGTTTCCGCACAGGATCCGGGTAGACCAGGACATAGCCCCGCTTGAGGAGCACGTCTTTCTCCAGATCCTGAAGGCTTTCTTCCCCTGAGTCCCAATGATTTAGAATGGAGATGTTTGGAGAACCTGCCATTGGGGATTTTCCATAACTGGCTTATAGTATAAACACATATGTAATATGTATATACGTATATAATATATATATATATATATTATATATGCATATGTTTGTATATGTATCATGTATATATTATATGTATATATTATGGAAACAATTTAGTTTTTCCCTTTGGATAAGTGGGAATTCTTCAGCACAAGTGAAGGGTGAAGGTTTCACCTGTCATATATATGTATAATGTATATATTATATGTATATATTATATGTATATACTATATGTATATATTATATGTATATATTATATGTATATATTATATGTATATATTATATGTATATATTATATGTATATATATATATACATATGGAAACAATTTAGTTTTTCCCTTTGGATAAGTGGGAATTCTTCAGCACAAGTGAAGGGTGAAGGTTTCACCTGTCAACAATGAGTTTGTACACCAAGCTGGTGGTGCAACAAAAATGGCACCGCAACAATCTGCAACCAATCAAATGATTCGTAATTCATGAGACAATGTTACATATTGGCAGTTTGAGGATATCATGTATATCATGTATGAACCAATCAACAATATGCAAACAGTTCAACATCCTTCTTGATAATGTTCATATACAGCATCTTTAACCATGGTTCAAAAACTTATGATCTCCTCAATCTTCTGTACCTCCCGCACCATAGTCTTCCTGCCACAACCATTCTAATGCTGACAAGACGCCAAATCAGTACAGTCCGTCACACCATGGAACAGAACCTGGGGAATAGAATGTGAAGCCCAGGAGAAAAAAAAATCACTCCGGTAATCAAACATGGTTTTCTGGAAAATCCGCCGTTTATATATATATATATATATATATATGGTCTACTCATTTATACATGGTATTCCCAGCTACAAACCTCCGTGGATTCCCCAGCTTGGTCATCAGCTCGGGCCGCGGGGCTGGCTGATACTGGCTGAATTTTCACCGCATCCCATCAACCAAGTAATGGTCACAATGTCTGATGTTTATGATGTCTATGATATTTGTGATGATTTTGATGATTATTCAACGGTATACTGTTTAAATCTGTATAAACATGAAATGTATGGTCATATCCGATAAACATATATAAGTTTAACATCAAATCTATTTTGACCCATGACATCCCAACAAAAACAAAAAACAATGAAACAATTATATAACACGTTTAGCAACATGTTCTTTGAGTACCACATACGGGTGGAAAGCACCAAACGCACGGGTGGAACAACGGAGTTGAGTTTCTACAAGGTTGTTTTTACCCCTAATAATTCTGGCATGGAATCCAAACAAATCTCGTATCCAATGGGAAATTTCATGCCAGAATTTTCTAGCAACCAATATGGCTTGTCCAGACATGGGGCATACGACAAATCCATTCCCACTAGTCAACCAATTGGTTGATGCTATAACCATCCCATTAAGCAATGGGCCATTATAAATCATTCCAAGTAGGGGTATGCCCAATGACAATAGGCAAAATTTCTGGCTGTGATTCTGGAAATATTAGTTACTGGAGATGTTTCTGAAGTATATTTTTGGAATAGGGGATCAACAAAAAAATAGGCGAACATACTCGAACACATCTCTGGCCAAAATATGACAACTCACAATCTGTAAGAAAACAATTTTCCGGATAGTTGACCCCCTACTGGTACCAACCACCATTCCAGTGAGGTCCCTTTGAATTCACCTAGACATCCTCCATCATGACCAGGTATTTTGATGGTCGGTTGCATCTCCTTCAAGGGTTTTCGACTGGCCATTCCAACTGTGCAAGGACGAGCAGCAGATGCCACACCTTTCCTGCATCAGCATCAGCTCATGGATGATGTTTATCCCCAATTTTTGGGTAATATAACCCAAGAAATCTACTTTCCTGTTTTAGATTGGTTTGGAACTCTTCCTTCAAGATCCATGCGCAAGTTTCAGCTGATTCTCCTAGCAAAAATGTTCCAACTCACACATCTATCTACCCCTGCATTCCTGTGGGAATCACGTTTGCAAACATATAGTCGCAACCAACCGAAGACTGATCTTTTCCGATGTCATAATTCTCCCATTAAGTTATCCTCATAAAATATCCTCATGAAACGGGCACGGTATACTCACTGTACATATATATATATACATATAATATACCTATATGCATATATATAATTATAGTTATATATATATATGGGTCCGGAATTGTTTGTTTACTTAGGCTTGGTTTAAGATCTATTTAGGGTTGTTTTAGGATTAAGGCTGGTTTTAGGGTGTATTTAATTAGGTTTGGTTCAGGATCTATCTAGAGTTGGTTTGGGGCCTATTTAGGGTTGGTTTAAGGTTTGTTTAGGGTTGGTTAAGATATAAGCATTGTTTAAGTTCTATTTAGGGTCGGTTTGAGGTTTCTTTAGGTTTGGTTTAACATCGGTTTTGGGTTGGTTTCGGATCTATTTGGGGTTGGTTTTAGTAGGGTTTATTTAGATTTGGCTTAGGATCTATCTAGAGTTGGTTTAGGACCTATTCAGGGTTGGTTTAATCGTTGTTTAGGGTTGGTTTAGGAACTATTTTAGGCCTGGTTTAAAGTCTACTTAGGGTTGATGTAAAGTTTATTTAGGTTTGGTTTAAAATCGGTTTTGGGTTGGTTTAGGATCTATGTACGGTTGGTTTTAAGTTTTATTTGTACAGGTTTGGTTTAGGATCTGTCTAGAGCTGGTGTAGGACCAATTCAGAGTTGGTGTACGGTTTGTTTAGCATTGGTTTTGGATTTATTTAGGCCTGGTTAAAAATATATTTAGGGTTGGTGTGAGGTTTACTTAAGCTTCATTTGGCATATATTTGGGTTTGGTTTAGGATCTATTTGGGGTGGGTTTAGGGTTTATTTCGGATTAGTTTCAGATCTATTTACGGAATGTTTAGAGGTTCCTTTGAGTTGCTTTAGTATTTTTTTATTTGTGTGGGGTGTTATTATTTAGGGTTGATTTAGGGTTTATGTATTATATGATGCTCCTTAGGGTTTCTTCACAGTATGAGAAACAAAAGAAAAGCAGGAAAAACATATAGGACCGGATAACCCCACATGTCAACTTCTTCCAACACGCAGCAAAAGAGAGGTAAAGATGGCATGGGAAATGCAGGAAAGAGAAAAGAGATGGTGAAGGATTGGCGTGTGCAACAGGGAACCCGTGTGTGAGTAAGTTGTGTGTGAGGAAGTTGCGTGGTGATAAGTTGTGTATGAGGTGTGTGTGTGTGGACCATGAGCAACAAACGTTGTAGCGGCGGGACGGGGAAGGAAGGAAAGACAAAGGAGGTGCTGAAGGATCGAGAAGTTAAAAGAGTTGCGTGGGACAAAGTTGTATGTGAAAGATCGTGTGTGACAAAGAAAGATGGTGTGTGAAAAGATGCTATGTATGTATGCATGTATGTCTGTATGTAATGTTCTGCACTATGCAACCGCAAATTTTGCAAACTCTTTCTGCATGCCTTGTGGCTGGTAATCATCCCTACCGGGAAGGAAGGAAAGACAAAGAAGGTGGTGAAGGATCGAAAAGTATGTGGAAGATGGTATGTGAGCAAGAAAGGTGGTGTGTGAAAAGATGGTATGTATCTATGTATGTATGTATGTATGTATGTATGTATGTATGTATGTCTGTGTGTGTGTATGTATGTATGTATGTATGTATGTCTGTGTGTGTGTATGTATGTATGTATGTATGTATGTATGTATGTATGTCTGCATGCATGCATGCATGCATGCATGCATGCATGTATGGGCCGCAAGCACGCTATTTTTTTCCCACGAGCGGAGGCGGCGGCGTGTGCGTGATGATGGCGGAAAATGGCGGAAAAGGTACCTGGCCACATGAAAGATCGAAGGAAACAAGCAGAAACGCAAAGAAGATTTTTGCAAAAACACCGAACATAGGAGCAGAAGCGACAGGTCAGGGGCACAGTTCACGGTGGATAGGCTGTGACCACTGCTTCCGAACATGATGTTCAGCAACGGCAGCATCCGCGCGATGAAGTCGGTACCTGGCAGAACAAAACAAAACAACTGGCTGTCATTCCTGTCAAGTAAAGGCGACATCATCATGAAGACTGTCAGTTTCATAATCACAGACTGATAACAGACAGCTGAGCATAGTCAACCGCAACAGAACTAGCAAAGATCACGACGCACCACACTGCTGGACCTGCCAAGCGACTGCGAAAGTGCAGCAACGCAGCTCCCACTGAAAGCAAGCAACACAATCATAGCTGCTGAAGCTGATTGCACAGAACCTGTTCTGAGCTGGCACGAACGCTGTCTTTTCTTTCGATCAACATGGCTGCGTTCAGGCGCTGGATCTTCTCACGGCGCGTCAATCCATGCGGGCCAAAGCTAGCTCCCTTGGCTATAAATTGTACCGAACACCGGAACCGGAGCAAGTCCAAGACAAGGGAACATCAACGTAGAACATCAAAGACGACCACATGAGGTGGTGCAAAATCCAGACAGGTTTCGGCACCAACCCACAGGGTAGAGTTTGATGCAGACGCCCCGGAAAGCGTGACTGTTGCAAAGCCGCGGCGTCCACGGCCTCATCTGGGAACCAAGCGCGTCACCAGAGCCAGCCCAGTGCCATAAGTGCCACGCCTGCCACGCAAAGTGACGGTCGATGTCACCAAGTCCCACGCCTGCCACGCAGGATGCACGTCCATGTCGCCGAGTGCCATGCCTGCCACGCAAAAAGCCGCGGCGTCCACGGCGTCATATGGGAACCAAGCGCGCCAGCCCAGTGCATGCCATCAGTGCCACGCCTGCCAAGCAAAATGACGGTCGATGTCACCAAGTGCCACGCCTGCCACGCAGGATGCACGTCCATGTCGCCGAGTGCCACGCCTGCCACGCAAAAATCCGCGGCGTCCACGGCGTCATCTGGGAACCAAGCGCGTCACCAGTGCCAGCCCAGTGCCATAAGTGCCACGCCTGCCACGCAAAGTGACGGTCGATGTCACCAAGTGCCACGCCTGCCACGCAAAGTGAAGGTGGATGTCACCAAGGGCCACGCCTGCCATGCAAAGTGACGGTTGTCAAGTTGTGCGTGTGTGTGAGTAAGTTGTGTATGAGAAGTTGTCAAGTTGTGTGTGAGTAAGTTGTGTGTGAGAAAGTTGTGTGTGGACAAGTTGTGTTGGAGCAAGTTGTCTGTGGAGAAGTGGTCTGTGAGCAAGTCGTGCGTGTACAAGTTGTGTGTGAGCAAGTTGTGTGTGAACAAGTTGTGTGTGAGTAAGTTGTGTGAGCAAGTTGTGTGTGTGTGTGAGAGCAAGTCGTGTGTGGACAAGTTGTGTGTGGACAAGTCGTGTGTACAAGTAGTTTTGTGACAACTTGCATGTTGACAAGGTGTGTGTGTGTGTACAAGTAGTTGTGTGACAACTTGCATGTTGACAAGGTGTGTGTGTGTGGGAAAGTTGTGTGTAGACAGTTGTGTGTGGACTAAGTTTGTGTGTGGACAAGTTGTGTGTGGACAAGTTGTGTGTAGACAGTTGTGTGTTGACAAGTTGTATGTGTGTGTGAGAGCAAGTTGTGTGTGGTGTGGACAAGTCGTGTGTACAAGTAGTTGTGTGACAACTTGCATGTTGACAAGGTGTGCGTGTACAAGTAGTTGTGTGACAACTTGCATGTTGACAAGGTGTGTGTGGACAAGTTGTGTGTAGACAGTTGTGTGTGGACAAGTTGTGTGTGGACAAGTTGTGTGTAGACAAGTTGTGTGTGGACAAGTTGTGTGTGGACAAGTTGTGTGTAGACAGTTGTGTGTGGACAAGTTGTGTGTGGACAAGTTGTGTGCAGACAAGTTAAGTGTGGACACGTTGTGTGTAGACAAGTTGTGTGTAGAAAAGTTGTGTGTGGACAAGTTGTGTGTGGACAAGTTGTGTGTAGACAAGTTGTGTGTAGACAAGTTGTGTGTGGACAAGTTGTGTGTAGACAAGTTGTGTGTGGACAAGTTGTGTGTGGACAAGTTGTGTGTAGACAAGTTGGGTGTGGACAAGTTGTGTGTAGCAGTTTGCGTGGACAAGTTTTGTGTAGACAAGTTGTGTGTGGACAAGTTGTGTGTGGACAAGTTGTGTGTAGACAGTTGTGTGTGGACAAGTTGTGTGTGGACAAGTTGTGTGTAGACAGTTGTGTGTGGACAAGTTGTGTGTAGACAAGTTGTGTGTGGACAAGTTGTGTGTGGACAAGTTGTGTGTAGACAAGTTGTGTGTGGACAAGTTGTGTGTGGACAAGTTGTGTGTGGACAAGTTGTGTGTGGACAAGTTGTGTGTGGACAAGTTGTGTGTAGACAAGTTGTGTGTGGACAAGTTGTGTGTGGACAAGTTGTGTGTAGACAGGTTGTGTGTGGACAAGTTGTGTGTAGACAAGTTGTGTGTAGACAAGTTGTGTGTGGACAAGTTGTGTGTAGACAAGTTGTGTGTGGACAAGTTGTGTGTAGACAAGTTGTGTGTGGACAAGTTGTGTGTGGACAAGTTGTGTGGGACAAGTTGTGTGTAGACAATTTTTGTGTAGACAAGTTGTGTGTGGCCAGTTGTGTGCTAGACAAGTTTTGTGTGGACAAGTTGTGTGTGGACCAGTTGTTTGTAACGTTGTGTGTGGACAATTGTGGTTGGAACATTGTGTTAGACAGTGGTGTGTGGGAACAGTTGTGTGTGTCACAGTTGTGTTAGACAGTTTGTGTCTGGACAAGTTGTTGTGTAACAAGTTTGTGTGGCAAGTTGTGTGTAGACAAGTTGTGTGTGGGCAAGTTGTGTGTAGACAAGTTGTGTGTGGACAAGTTGTGTGTAGACAAGTTGTGTGTGGACAAGTTGTGTGTAGACAAGTTGTGTGTGGACAAGTTGTGTGTAGACAAGTTGTGTGTGGACAAGTTGTGTGTGGACAAGTTGTGTGTAGACAGGTTGTGTGTGGACAAGTTGTGTGTAGACAAGTTGTGTGTAGACAAGTTGTGTGTGGACAAGTTGTGTGTAGACAAGTTGTGTGTGGACAAGTTGTGTGTAGACAAGTTGTGTTTGGACAAGTTGTGTGTGGACAAGTTGTGTGTAGACAAGTTGTGTGTGGACAAGTTGTGTGTAGACAAGTTGTGTGTGGACAAGTTGTGTGTGGACAAGTTGTGTGTGGACAAGTTGTGTGTGGACAAGTTGTGTGTAGACAAGTTGTGTGTGGACAAGTTGTGTGTAGACAAGTTGTGTGTGGACAAGTTGTGTGTGGACAAGTTGTGTGTAGACAAGTTGTGTGTGGACAAGTTGTGTGTAGACAAGTTGTGTGTGGACAAGTTGTGTGTGGACAAGTTGTGTGTAGACAAGTTGTGTGTGGGCAAGTTGTGTGTAGACAAGTTGTGTGTGGACAAGTTGTGTGTAGACAAGTTGTGTGTGGACAAGTTGTGTGTAGACAAGTTGTGTGTGGACAAGTTGTGTGTGGACAAGTTGTGTGTGGACAAGTTGTGTGTGGACAAGTTGTGTGTAGACAAGTTGTGTGTGGACAAGTTGTGTGTGGACAAGTTGTGTGTAGACAAGTTGTGTGTGGACAAGTTGTGTGTAGACAGTTGTGTGTGGACAAGTTGTGTGTAGACAAGTTGTGTGTGGACAAGTTGTGTGTGGACAAGTTGTGTGTGGACGAGTTGTGTGTAGACAACATGTGTGTGGACAAGTTGTGTGTAGACAGTTGTGTGTGGACAAGTTGTGTGTGTAGACAAGTTGTGTGTAGACAAGTTGTGTGTGGGCAAGTTGTGTGTAGACAAGTTGTGTGTGGACAAGTTGTGTGTAGACAAGTTGTGTGTGGACAAGTTGTGTGTAGACAAGTTGTGTGTGGACAAGTTGTGTGTAGACAAGTTGTGTGTGGACAAGTTGTGTGTGGACAAGTTGTGTGTAGACAAGTTGTGTGTGGACAAGTTGTGTGTAGACAAGTTGTGTGTGGACAAGTTGTGTGTAGACAAGTTGTGTGTGGACAAGTTGTGTTGACAAGTCGGAGCGGCGGAGACGGAGGTGCAGAACCAAAAACAAGAACCCCACACAAAGATGTGGGGAACAAAGAAGCAGGTAAGCAGAAAAGCAGGGAAAGGGGGAAAGCAGAGAAGCAAAGAAGGTGGAAAGGCAGAAAAGCAGGGAAAAACAGAAAAGCAGAAAATTCAAGAAGCAGAAAAGCAAAGAAGCAGAGAAGTAGACCAGCAAAGAAGCAGAAAAGCAGGAAAACGCAGAAAAGCAGAGAAGCAGGCCAGCAGGGAAAACGGGAGAAGCAAAGAAGCAGGGAAAAGCAGAAAAACTAAAAAGCAGAGAAGCAAATAAGCTGGGAACCAGAAATTAAAAAAACAAAATAGAAACACATATTCCCAAAAAAAACTCTTCCGGTGTAACGGTGCATATTTATATTTATATTTATTTTAACCTTTGTGTACATATGAGATCTTGTATTATATACATAGAATTACATGGACCATATATCACACACACGCACATGTATATATATATATGTATATGTATATATGTATATATATATATTATACAAATATATATATATTATACAAATATATATATATTATACAAATATTTTTATATATATATATATCTAAAGATATATAGATAAATAGATATATAGATATATAGACATATCTAGATATATCTAGATATATCTAGATATATAGATAGACAGTATATATATATATATAGCATATATTACCCCCGCACCATTCACCCCAATTCTACGGCGGCGTCCTGGTGATGGTGAGATTCTCCACCCGTCGCAGCTCTGCCGGTGACAGGTTTTGCAACTCCGGCGACACCACCAGGGCCCCCTCGCCCTCGGCGCCGGCGTTGCCTTGGCCCGGTGGTGCCACGAGAAATGGGGATTTCAACGGCAAAAATGGGGATACTTGATAGGTGGTCGATGATTATGAGAGCGAAGTTGGTTTATCTAAAGTTCAAAAGTCATGTTAAACATCTAAGTCTTCGGAAGGAATTATTGATATGTATGGGTGATTTCTGATACCCATGTTAGTTTGGAAAGTCTTCATGTCAAAATTGATATCTATAACTGTTGGGCTTATGCTAGATATGTCCAATTAGCTAATGGTGTGAAACTAGACCAACACACATAGCTGGCGGGCAGTCCTTGCACAATGAGGATATGATGGGCTTTCTGAATTAGAATTGGTATCAATTATAGTCATACTGCTGGATAAACTGTGATAATAACCATTGGTTATAGCTAAGATCCCCATTCATTGAAAAACACTAACCTAAAGAAAACATGTTCAGCATTGTTCAGCCATTATCCCTACTCTTTAATCATCATTTCAGTGACACTGCGACATGTGAACGTTGTACTTAGCCCATCTTATCTTCACCCAGTATATGATGGAGAGATAATGGGGATATCACCAACAAAAAAAAAAATATATATATATATCACAATCAACCGGTTGGTTTAAGGGAAAACCTCAACCGGATTTGTTTATTCCATATGAACTTCATATTATCCAAAGATCATCCTTCTTGTAAGTTTATACATATATATATATTTATATCCTGGGCCGTAGATATCCAATGAATACCGTATAAGTATCCCAGCTATCATTTGGTTTACCCTTCATCAAACATAGCAATGGTGTTCCACCATTTATGGATGGTTTTGCCATCAAAACCTTCACTCATAGCAGGTGTTCCCACATGTTCCCACGATTTTCCCACGGTTTAAACCGGGCAGGACTGGGGGTTGTCCCGGAATGGTCGTATGAACGTCAGTGGGAGACTGATTTCTCTGCGCAGGCGCAGTGTTTTATGACTCTGGTACATCTGTGGGTTAGCGTGGTCTAAGACGAATTTTTGGGAAAATCAGTCAGAAAAGTGAACCCTCTGCGGACTTCACGCGTTTCGGCCATTTCCACTGTTTCAATCTTTTTCACTTTTTTGGCGAGTCCGGATTTTATAACTTATGTAAATCCTAAATGAAACCCCTGCGTATATGTTCCATGGGGCCGGGGGATTTTATAACTATGTAAACCCTAAATGAAACCCCTAATAGAAGTATGCGTATATGTTCCATGGGGCCGGGGGATTTTATAACTATGTAAACCCTGAATGAAACCCCTAATAGAAGTATGCGTATATGTTCCATGGGGCCGGGGAATTTTATAACTATGTAAATCCTAAATGAAACCCCTAATAGAAGTATGCGTATATGTTCCATGGGGCCGGGGGATTTTATATTTATAATTTATAACTATGTAAACCCTGAATGAAACCCCTAATAGAAGTATGCGTATATGTTCCATGGGGCCGGGGAATTTTATAACTTACGTAAACCCTGAATGAAACCCCTGATAGAAGTATGCGTAAGACGTCACTGTTGTTATGACAAGGAAATCCCCTGGCACTGGGAAGATGGAACCAATGGGTTGCTAACTCCGCTCTCGGGTATGGCCCTCCTCCGGGCCATACCCTCGTAGGACGAGAACGGGATTTCCAACTGCCACGTTTGACGACACCAAAGGGTACCACTGCGCCCAGGCGCCGTTCAGCGGCACGGTCGCCCGCACCGCCTCCGGCGAGACGTTCTCCGCATTCTCGTCGTCCTCCCCGGGATAGCGCCTTGGGCTACCGCGGGTGCCGTCGTCCAGGTAGGTGCGGATGCAGCTGCACCACCTGTTTTCGCTGGGGTTTCCACAAGAATTTCCACTTGAACATTTCACTATCCTTGGTGCAATGGTAATTTCAGGATCCTAAAATGGAGATACCAATAGATACCATATTTATCCATATTTCAAGTCTTATGTAATGGCCCGGGCTATGTCATTATGTCGTAGTCGTGGTTAGCCATGGATCGGTGGTTGACATTTCCTTGATGGGGTTAGCCAACATGTCAGTTTCCAGTGGGCTTATCACTCACTATAGTTTTACATAGTTTTACGGTTGGCGAGATCTTCCCACAATTGCAATAAAATTATTACACCTTAATGAAATACACCAACGAATAACATCAGAGAGGATGGGATTCTCATGATCATGCGGTTGGGAAACTCTGATTGCAGCTCCAACTGGCCCCCCATCTAATAGGGAATATGGATACACCTAGCTCCGAACCGCTCCCGTCCTCTATAAACACTGCATAGTTCATGGAGCTAAACCAAAAAGAAGAAATGCTTTTTGCAAGATGCACTTAAGAGTTATATCCACGGCTACAACATGTTGATGGAGCTGAACCATCATGGTTGCTCCACCCCAAACATGTCCGGGGGGTAAAAAAAATGTAACATATCAATGTTGTCAACCAAAAAGCGGCGGCGATCATTCACCTGCAGTATGATGGGCTGGACTGGAGCAACCCTAGAAAACGTGCCAGAACTGCGGGGAAAATACAAGGAACTAGTGGAATTTCACAGAGCCCACTTTTGCTTATGGAACGAACACCCCCTACTCTTTTGCAATGGAACACCCTGACATTCTCTTGTGGAAAAGTCATCAAATATAGATAAAATGTTGGTCAGCTGCGGCAAAATTTGAGGATGAATTGGCAAGCTACAAAAGCCAGACTTTCTATTACCTGGAAATGCATAAGACCTTTTCATTTTTTAGACATACACAAGCACACACACATATATACATATACATATACATATACATATACATATACATATACATATACATATACACATAATATATATATATATACACATGTACATGCGAGAATCCATTCCACTGTCATGCTTCGTTTCTGCATGTGTATATATATATATATACAGGTGATCTTTTTCATAACTAAAAACCATCCAGCGCATACAAAAAAAAACAAAAACTGTTCAAATAATAATGATATTTAAATAGGGTATATAAAGAGGTGTCCATTCATATAGAGTAAAAACATGTAGTAATTATATATCATATTATATAATCTCGTCCCCCCATGCCTCCTTCCCTATATCATTTCTCCAGTCGCCAGTCGTCCAGCCGTCCAGTCCGCCCATCTCCGCCTGGTCAACGCCACACAGGGGGTGCAGCCACCGTCCGTCAAGGTGCCCAGCGTGCGCAGTTGAGCTCCTGGGTGCAGCCGGTGGCGTCAGGTGGCCAAGGCTGAGTGGGGCTTATGACTGTGTAACAACACGGGTGATGTTGAATGATGTTAATGTTGATTAATGGTTTACTTAGTTTACTTCTTGTTTTTTAGGTTTATATAAATTGCATTTGGGTGGTGATTAGGTGGTTTCTTGCTTTTCTTTCAGGTTGAAGCAACAAGAATGGGGATGTTAATGGGGATATCATATTTATCTCACACATATACATATATATATATATATTTGTATATATATATATATATATACATACAAATATATATATATAACGATGTATCAGCCAGGATTTCTCATGGGGATTTAATGGGATATACCTACCGGTGTCATGAAGCTGGGAAAGCCACTTGAAATTGGAGGTTTATAGCTGGGAAGTCATCGAACTACCAGCTGGTGGATTTTCAAGCCCAAAAATGATTACCAGAAGGTGCTGCCAGCTGGATCCCCAGAAGGTTATCCAGTTATCCAATCAAGAACTGGGTGAACTTAACTAACCTAAACCAAACGCAAAAATTATGATTCGTGGGAACATGCGTTTCACACCCATGATATCCCATGTCGTATCTTCATGATATCATCATTTTGGTGTTAAAACCCCCAACAGCTTGTTACTGAAAGGTAGGGGCGATGACCGCCATCGGCCGCACAGGTTTCCAGCCCCAAAACATGGCCAAGACTCTCATGGCATGCGTGATGCTGTGTGGCTCGAAGGCGGCCAAGCGTGCGGCCAAAGAATCCTCGGCCAATTTCCAAAAAAAGGGGAACCCTACGACCCCAACCAACAGATCACTGCCCTTAATTCAGAATGGCTATTTATTGAAATCTGATGACTTGTATGGATGATTCAGTTTTCCATCATGGATGCTTGTTTTTTTGCGTCAACATGCTCTAGAGAATATGGATTTACACATGCCATTTCCCGTCCTAGAAAGGAATAAACAAATAGAATAGATTGGAATAGAACGTTTCACTTCACACAAAAAATAGTGAGTAACTTAACCAAGACTACTCCAAGAGCAAGAACGTGCAAATTCTCATGCATTATCTGGAGGCCATACGCCTGATCATTTAGAAACTGCGAACATCATCTTCCAATGCCATGGGCCATGCACCGGGCAGCTCCGTGGTGCGTGAGAATCTCCCGAACTGTGATGCATCTTGGCCATGCCCTGGCTATATCATGTCAGTTGTTTCAACCAATTACCCATCATATATTGTTGAAAGTGTTGGCATAGCAAAACCATGAAGGACGACTGAGTCACTAGCATGAACATCATGAACGCTTCGCATCTCCAGCATTCGGCTGAGACTCAGCTAAGAGCTTCTTGAAGTTCACAGTTTTGCCTGGCGACGCGTTCTCGGAGACATCAATGCTGCCCCACGCGCCGTTTCTAGGTCCATGTAGTTATACCCCAATGCCCAGATTCAAATCATTCGTCTGAAATATGTGCATTCAATTTTACCATCTAGGTGATTTAACTTAGCGAAGAAAAAACATGTTAAAATAGTACGTAATTACATCAAAAACGATTTGCAATTTTCTATACCCAGCAGCTATGTTTCATTCCCAACGAGTATTACCCGGTTCCCTTTTGTTCCTGGCTCCCAAGTTGCCTTCCTTCTCTCCCAGCAAAATGCTGATGAACTCACAGGTCCTGCGAATCGGATTTCATGGGATGATGGTTTTTTTTGATGTTTTTCCGGCCTGTTTTTGACTGGTCCCAGGCCGTTGCCTGGTGAGAAACCAAGCCGTTAAAAACTGAAGCCATCTCATCCACACGTGGTTTCCCACATGATGGTTCAAGACCTATATAATTCACGGCTCAATCATAGCGTCCCATACATTTTTGACTGGCTGGTGGTATAAGAACCCCTCTGAAAAATATTTCCAATATATGGAAAAATAAAAATGATCCAAACCACCAACCAGTAAAAAAATGATGACAAACACCTCTGCAAACGATGTAACAACCAAACAACCATCAGCCATCATGTCTTGATACTTCACCAGCGTTTGTTTTTCAAATTTTACAGGTCTTTGTTAAATATATGACAGGGCTTTGGTCACTGCTCACTCTCCTGGTGAGTAGATGGCACAAAGCAACACCTTAGTGATTACCAAACTACCATAAACTACCCATCTAACAACTATCAAAGTTGCTTAAAACTTAAAACATTGAAATACCATAAAACCCAACTTGCCCGGGTGTCTGCTGAACTGTTTTTAACAACCACTTGACGAGGTTGCACCCAACACCCCAAATAGAAGGGGTACAGTAAATTTGGATAATTTCAGAGTCAAATTCACACATTTTCTCAATGGATCATGGTAGCCCCAATATATTGAACAGCGTCACCGCCGACCTAATCATCAGCCAACCTCCATCAACAAGTTTCCATAGTTTTTAGTGGTCAAAAACATATCACGATATAAAGTTGTCCATTTCTCTATAAAAATGTGCTTTTGAACATTGCAAACATGGTTCAAGTCCAATTTTTCCCATAATGTTTTCTGCCTTTTTGTCTTCGGAAGACCAAGCCTTTCTTCGCCACACAAGCTAGTGCCCCATACTTAAGTTTGCTTATCACTCCAATAAATAGTGTTTGTGGTAGATATATCTATAGTGTATAGTTAATAGTGGTTACAAACTGACTTCCTGTGGATGGTCGCAAAATCCTGCACCATAAGGAAAAGACTGAGTCATCATGGGATTTTTGGGATATGTTTACCATCAGCCAACTGGTTTTCTTCGGATTTCCATTACACTGGTTGGTTAAGAACGGGATTCACAGTTTTTGGATGATAATCATTGATAATCCCCAAGATATAATGGGATAATCATTGATAATCCCCAGTTGATAATCATTGATAATACCCTGTTGGTTGATATTCCCCATTGGGTAGTTGAATAATCCCCAGGAAACATCAATATATGATCATCAATAATCATCAATAATCGTTTCTGGATGATAATCATTGATGATAATCAAGATACGTAGTAGTCGGGTAGTTGAATAATCCCCAGTAATGTCATCTGATAATCATTGATAATCCCCAGTTGGTTGATATTCCCCAATTGGGTAGTTGAATAGTCCCCAGGAATCATCAATATATGATCATCAATATTAAACAAAAAAAGTAGAATTTGAGGAACCCTGGGCCTCAAGCTTTCGGATTCTTAACCAACTCTTGGGTTGTAGTTGAATAATCCCGCACAGTTATGGCCATTTATTAATTATAACTGATTATAAGTGGGATTATACATTTTATACATGGGGTTATAAGTAATTACTTATAACTGGTACAGGGCCATAACTGCAGTAATCATAATCATCATCCAAAACCATGTCGATAGCTCCTCACCACCCCCGGTGGCGGACGTCGCAGCTGCCGTAGCTGTCGCAGGTCGCTGACCGTGACGCCGGCCGCGGCGCGGTGCAAGGCTTGGCGGCAGCGTTTGAGCTCGGCCTGGCGGCTCTTAAAACGGTGCTTTCATGGTGATTTTATGGTGCTTTCATGGTGATTTAATCGGAATTAATGGGAATTCATGGGATCCAATGGGAATTAATGGTGGTTTAAAGGGGAAATCATAGGCAAGGATTCAGTGGTGGTTTCATGTGATTTTATGGTGATTTAAAGAGGACAAAAATGAAACATAAGTGGTATGTGCATATGTATGAGAATATATATATATCTGGGAAATCCCTGAATTTTATGGGAAATGAATGAAGAACTCATGGGACCATTTGCGCCATTGAATGAGGAAATATGAGGAAATAAATTGAATTCGTGGCAATATTCATGGGATAAGTTCAAAAATGTCATATATTTTAATCATGGTTCTCTCAAAATGTCTCCCAAAATGTCTCCAAACAGTTCATTAACATGAATTGTTTATCAAATCTCCGGGCCCTGCCTGTATCTCGCTACCCGGCCGCGGAAGCCTCGCCGGCGCCACGCTGTTGCCGTGACCTTGTTGCGCCATTGATCCCCATCTGGGCAAGCTGGGAGGCGACATCCCCAATAAATGGAGGTGTTTGGTCTCATTCTATCTCCATCTTGTTGTAAACCTACTTTTATATTGCGTTGGACCTAGTTGGGCTTAAAAGCCTGTTCCAAAGCATTTACTTACCCTACAAAATAACAACCCAAGCTGCTTTTTTCCTGGAATGTTGCAATTATATGTGTACAAGGAGGGTCCTTTTAAACATATACAATGATAATCAGGGATGTAAAAATAATGTCCCTGTTGCTAGGCTCTAGATCACCAAGACGTGTAACGTGGCAATAATAAATCCCACTTGGGTGCGATTCAGAATCACCCCCAAGCACATGCAAGCACTAACATAAGCTGTGGTCAATGACTGGTTTTACCACATACAACAAACAATTAAAACATACCAGAAACAACTTCATTCCCCAGGCCCCCACCCCCAAAAAAATATAAAGAGCATTGAAAAGCACAGGTGTTTTGAAAACATGATACTCTCAAGAGATCCTGGCAGCAAGGCCGAGCTGCTTTGCTGTGCCGGCGCTTCTGCCATCTTCCGCGGCAGCCTTTCGTGCGCCAGCGCCGCCACGCCGGGGTTTGCTGCAGACAGCAGCACCGGCGGAGGCGGCGACGGGGGGGACGGCACCAGCGGCGACGGCACAGTGTCCACGAGGGGCATTAGCAACGTGGAAGAATCGCCTTGGGAAGCGAAGATGCGCCCAAATCAACACACCATAAAACCAGCAGCAGAAACATGATCCTGGGGTGCCGCGAGTCATGACTAAAATCAACTACTCCAACAAATTCGTAGCTGTGCTATATTCCTCCATTAGATTCGTCCAAAAATCATGCATCAACAAGTCGGCTGGGTTCCCAGATTGCTATTCCTGTTCCATAGCCATGTTTGGTTGACCCATTGCCCATTGTCAGTTGTACTAAGTGGTGCCCGCCCCCAGTTGTTCTAAACTGCTTCATAAAGGCATCCAACTATGGGTATTTCTTGGTATGTACAGCGTTTTTACTAATTCCAATTGACTAGGCAGATTCTGACTGGCATCACTTTGCATGGGGCAACAGTTAACAACCATGAATAAACACCAACATTTCTCAGTTGAGTGTTCCTAGAATTGGGTCAGCGATCTAAACCACCTATCAGTTAGATGACAACTTGGGGAGCCCTCGTTTCAGGAAACCTCACCCTTGATATCACCCTACATTTTTTGGGGGTCACCTTTGGGACTTTTAGTTCATGTACTAGTATCGCAGTATATTCAGTATATCAATATTATATCATATTATTATTACCCCACCATTTTGTGTTGGTTAATAATATAATGTTAATAACAATCAAAAAATCACTTCTAGGGTTGATTGAATCCCATCGAAATTCCATTTGTTGCTGGTTAAATCCAGCAAAAATCCCCTCATATCCCCATTAATCCCATTGAATCTCATTAAATCCCATTAAATCCTATTAAATCACCATTAAACACCATAAAATCATCATGAAATCACCGTTCTAAATCCAATCATAATGGTGAAATCCTGTTGTGTCGCCTGGCAATTCCTCTTCCACTTGGCTCATGGGCGTCGTGGCAGTGACTTCGCCTGGGACCACATGAAATCACATGAAATGTCCTCGTAAAAGTATGAAATATGCATACTATATGCATATGGTACATATGGACGGTTTCCTAAAATGGAGGTACGACCTCTAGTTCTCATCCATTTTACTGGGGTTTTCCATGAAATAAACCATCCAGCTATTGGGGTACCCGACCCCCACTTATGGAACCCCCCAAATGTATACCTGCAAATATTATAATGTTGCCCAAATGATCTGCCAACTCCTTCTTGCAGGGTCAAAGAGTTGCTGCATGATGCTGCATGTTGATGTTGTTCGGGTTACAGCCACACCTTTTTTTCGTCGACACATGCTGAAACTTCAGATGGAAATAAGAAAACAGGTCAATTTTCCAGGGCAAATCTACAAATGGTGGGGCCACATCTATAAAATCTATATTGGCTGGTAGGGTGGTGTGTATTACATGTAATTCAAAACAAAAAATATGAAAAAAAAATAGAACCAAATCTGCATATCGGATTATGTTGGTATTATATGACTGATGTATGACTGATCGCTCAAGTCACACATGCTACCATGACCAGCAGGTTCGACCACACAGGCCACATGATCATCTCACCAATCCAGTGGAAATGACTGTGGAAACATGGACATGCGATGGGTAATTTAATGGGTGATGGGAAGGGGGTCCCACACCTGTTCTTTTCTCATTCTTGTTTTTTTTTTAAAACTTTGGTTACTGAGGGATTGTCGTGAATATGTCTCCGCTGACGGCCAGAGAACCTTCATGCTAACCGACATCACCAACCCTTGGCATCGTTGTGTTGATGAACTCTACATTTTTGTGGGTTAAATCCACATCTTTAGCTGGTTAAATCATGTTAAATCCAAAACTTTAGCTGGTTAAATCATGTTAAATCCGAATGTTTAGCTGGTTAACTCATGTTAAATCCAAATGTTTAGCTGGTTAAATCATGCTAAATCCAATTTTGTAGCTGGTTAAATCATGCTAAATCCGAAGTGTCAGCTGGTAAAATAATATTAAATCCGATTTTTAGCTGGTTAAATCATAATAAATCCGAATTGTTAGCTGGCTAAATCATGTTAAATCCGAATTTTTAGCTGGTTAAATCATGTTAAATCCACATTTTCAGCTGGTTAAATAATGTTAAATCCAGAAGTTTAGCTGGCTAAATCATGTTAAATCCGAATTTTTAGCTGGTTAAATCATGTTAAATCCACATTTTCAGCTGGTTAAATAATGTTAAATCCAGAAGTTTAGCTGGTTACATAATGTTAAATCCGAATTTTTAGCTGGTTAAATCATGTTTAATCCAAGTTTTTAGCTGGTTAAATCAAGTTAAATCCCAATTTTTAGCTGGTTAAACCATGTTCAATCCAAAATTTTGGCTGGTTAAATCATGTTAAATCCAACATTTTCGCTGGTAAATCATGTTAAATCCGCATGTTTTTCTGGTTAAATCATCTTAAATCAACATGTTTAGCTGGCTAAATCATATTAAATCCGAATTTTTAGCTGGTTAAATCATGTTAAATCCGAATTTTTAGAAAGTTAGATGTTAAATCCATTTTTTTAGCTGGTTAAATCATTGTAAATATCCATTTTTTTAGCTGGTTAAATCATTGTAAATATCAATTTTTTTAGCTGGTTAAATCATTTTAAATCATTTTTTTTAGCTGGTTAAATCATGTTAAATCCATTTAAATCCGAATTATTGGCTGGTTAAATCATGTTGAATCTGCATTTTTAATGGGTAGCACCACACCACGGCATCAATTCCCTGCCGAAGCGCTGAGCGCGATCAACTCCTGCACGCGGGGCTCGGCGCACGGCGGTGGCGGGGAGGGCCAGCGCTTCAGGGCGTCGGCTAAGCCTTGGCCAAGGCTCGGTCAAAGATGAGAAAAAATCAGGGGAATCTGGTGATTGAACGGTAATTTGCTGGCGATTTAGTGGAATTTAATGATGATTTTATGTGGATCTTACTGGGATTTAATGAAAAATTAATGGGACTTAGTGGGATTTAATGGGACTTGTTGGGGTCTGTTGGATTGTTGAAGATAAAATAGTGTTTGATGGTGGTATCATTCATATTAATTGCATATTAAAGGCTTATGAAAGACTTATGGAGGGGCTTTTTGCCTCAGGGGGAGGCAAAATGAATAAGTCCAATGTTAAGCAATGGTTTCAAATGGGGTATTTAATATTAGGGGTATTGGCTTACTAAAACATAACATAAATGAACATAGTAAACATATGTAAACATAAAGTAACAATGTGCAACAATGCTACTAGCCAAAAAACAAGCACATGTGATATTATGTTTTACTAGTGTCTAAACGTGAAGAAATCATTGCCTTTACTATGGAAAGGGCAAGAAACATGGGTTCAAAATTGTGGTTTACCCCATCAGGAATGTGGGATTTAATTACTCGGTGGTGCAGTTGGAATTATTCAAAGTCATAGCCATGGTGAAATCACTCGATAGGTTGGGATATACAATAATCATGAAACAAGTACCGTCGACCCACTTATTAAGTGGAACTTCACCCCAGTACCGTGGTCCATTGTACCCAATGGTTCTTCATGGTCGCACTAGGATCATCTGCATGAAGTATGCTTTAAAGGGGAAAACTTTGGCATCCAGCCGTAGCTTCTGAGATTCTGAGGCTACAGTGATTTTGAAGGCTAAGCTTGGGTAACTCACCAAGAATTTGGCAGTATACATTACATCCATAATATTCTTTATATATTTTTAGATAACTATATGTATATATACTATGTATATATATATAAATATGTATGTATGTAAATATTTGAAACTAGTAACTATGTGTATATATATATATGCACTATATATATATTTATTTATTTACATGCATACCCCTTATATCCCATCAAACATACCCCGTCTATCCCATTTAGATCTGCCTTTTTTGAGACGTCCCAGATGGTCCCAGCCACGGGGTGTCGCTTGCAAGGCTTGCACCGTCTCCCTTCTCAGCTGGTCCTGGCAGGCGAACTGTTGGCTTTGCGTGTAATGGTATGTGTATATATATATATATTATATTTTTATGTATATATATATATAGAATTATACATCTGTAGTTGACAAGCCCACTTAACTTATGTATTATATATATATATTACAAAAGAAAAACTGAAGTTGGCTGGACTTATAAGCCAACAAACTTATGAATGGGGGCACCAGCTTATCATGGCCTTTGATAGTTTTTTGATGGTTCTTGTAGCCAACCATAGCTTTTGACCACTAAACATCGGCTACACCTTTGGCTGACAAACCAAGTTGGCAAGCAAGGAACCATACGTCGGATTGGAGAAAATAACCGGCCTCTTAAGCCGGACTCAACTTTCACATTCACTGGTCACACAAGGCAGCACATATCTTGATGCAGTGACAACTATGTGGCTTTACAGAGTTGATCCTGCCACAAATCCTGCCACAATTTCTTCCCACCCCCACACCCAAGGCACGGTATCTCTGCACAGTAACAGTTAAAAAGAAAGGCATTATATAGTTGATCAGGCCCCGCTTGGATTCCGATATGTATCATCCCTCCTAAATTGACGCTTTAAGACTTAACCTGGTTCATCTTGTTTACCAATGGCCCATGCCCGTTTAACTATCCCATTGTTCCTCCATCCACCTGACATCTACCACCACAAAGATTGACCAAACAAATCCATGGGGGAACAACCCAAAGCTAACCATATTCTTGGAGTTACAGTAGCTCATCTTCAATAGTCGTCAACACATTGGCTTTGAGCTGCTGAGTCCAAACACTACGCTTTTCAAATAGCCAACACCCTTCTCCACAACTGGCCACTGGCCAGGTCTACAGTACATGCGTTCAATTTTCTGTAGGGCCCTAAGAGCCTCTGGTAACCAAACATGGCGACGGATAATCCTGGAACTAAATCGTGGCTTGATGTGAAACTCCTTGAACTAAATGGGGGTTAAGATATTCAACGGGAAAATCCCAAAGAAAACCATGCCTTCTATACGATCTATACCTTCAGAAGGATCCCAGCCGTGGCCGCCTGTCGCTGCGCGATCTGTTTCTCACTCTTGGCCAACTCGGAGGCCGCCAGCTGCTTCGCCTCTTTCAAGGCGCGCAGCTGTCGCGCCAGCGAGTCTTCCTGGGAACCGGGGAGGGCCGTTTTTTCTTTTTCTGGGGATGTTGTAATACGTTGAATGTGCTGGAAGATGTTGGAAGATATTGTAAACCCACATGTGGTCCCCAGATCATCAAGTATCTGCCAAAAATATTCAGCGAAATATGATGTCAACAACGTTGGTTGATGAAAAACCGGAGGTGCCGTCCCCCAATAGTGAGGTCATCTGCTACTATGGTACCTCAGCAATGATCAACAACCTAGGGTGTTTTTCATGAAAATCCTTTGAGTCAAATTATGATGGTAAATCCATGTCAGTCATATTTCCATTGTAGTATCCCATTGTATCTAAATTTGATTGAACTGCATCTATTGGCTGCGGCCATTCCAGGCCATTCCGGGATGAATCCGGCGATGATTTGCAATTTTCGATATATCTGCCACAATCCCATTGGGACAACACCTGGTAGTATATATGATTATATACGCTTATGCCCCCCAAAAAGTAGGATAGTTGTTTGGATACTATCCAACATTACGAACTATTGGATACAACACCTGGGTAATATTATTCAAGGCCGTTTGGGGATGGTTCCAAACGGTTCACCATGTTTCCGCTCGGGAAACAATGTGAGGTCACGATAATTCAACCAAATGAATGGATGTTCATTGAACTCACTTTTTCCATAGATATTTAATGGTATTAATATTTACTATTACAACCTGTTACATATTACTAGACAGTATGGATATACAATGATATACATAAATCATCATTCATCCTATCTCCACAAAGTGCATTTCTATCGAACATTCACCTCGTTGCAGTCTGCCCCGCCCCTCCCAAGTCGCTGAGCGCTCGATGGATTGAAACAACTGGCCCCCTGATCCAGCGGGAACTTCACCGTAGAAATGCTGATTTATAATGAGATTTGATTTGATGTGATTGTATCTATATAGTTGTCATAGTAGGATGAGATATTTTTAGGGCAATTTTATAGAGATCAAATATATGTGCCTGTGTAATTACGGGTAAACCTTAAGCACATCTAACTACAATATACTGTATTGAGGGGAAACATAGTTGGAAAAATGCGACCATGACTGTGGAAGGGTTGCCCAAAGATGTTCACATAACATAGATGACTCCACAAATCGCCAGCTGGTTTGCCTTTCTGATTGCGGGAAGCCTTTTTGGATAACCTTCCAAATGCTGAAGGGCGACCGAAACCGAGCTGTTTTTCGCGCGTTGCTTCTCTACATGTGTGTCCAAAACATGCAGGTTTTTGGATGCAATGCGTTGCAATGTATTCTATAGTTTAAGCATATTATGGAATTATAATACGCATATAACCGCATATATATATATATATTTATTATATATTATATATATATATTTTTTTTTGGTGTTGCTGTATTTCGCCATACTCTTCCATTGCGTAAACAAAACAATAAAGTATTCCTTTGGAACCGCCATACTACTTGTTCCAATCCAACAACCCAGGAATTGGAGTGGCTTCTCCTGTTGGGTATATGCCCGAATTTGTTTCAAATTTTTTCTTACTTCTCCAGCAAATCTAGTCCAAAAACGACAATATTTGTTTTGATATCCACTTGGCTAATATCCTCTGCCCATTGGGATCCGGGGGTTTCCCAAAATGGGGGTACCCCCATCATTTGGTCCCTGCTCACCTGAGCTATTAGTCACCAGCACTCGGGTCAGCTGCCGCGGCGACTTCGCCCGCGGCGACGCCGGCGCCGGCGCGGAGGCCGGCAGCCGTGTGCACGGCAGCGCTGCCGGTGCAGCGCCCAAGGGGAGCACCGGCGCAGGGGGGCCACGGGGTGTGAGAACCGTGCCTTGATTGGACCATGGGAAATTGGTGATCTCGTCGTAAAAAATGATGGATTATGAGATTTAGCCCAGAAAAATGTGGATTTATATAGTTAATTTGTGATAAGTTGGGCTCATTATGCCTTAGATGGGTGCACAACCCAACTTTTAACGGGGGAAGGGCCACATTGCAACAAAGTGGCGGAAGTTAGATACCCCATGATGTCCCTGAAGTTGCAGAATTATGGACATGAACAATGTCAAGAGATGGCGAATCCTTGGAACGTTGGGATTTTACAAATTGACAAGGGTATAGCACCAGAAAAATGAGCAGATGCGGGTAGTGTTCGTCAATTTTTCATCAATCGTCTAATTGTTAAGCAATTATTCACATTGATACATATTTAAGGAGAACAAAAAGCGATTAACATTCAGAAAAACCCAGCACCAACAAAGCCCGGAAACACCGAAACAATCTCCAAGGAGCCATGGGGCGTCACTGTCACCGCCGCCCGGGCCGCCCTCGACACGGAGGAGATGTAGGGCCCAACCGCCAGCGGCGGCGGTGACACAGCTTGTGCCAGTTGAATGGCACCGCGTGGCAGCGAACGCTGCCTGGGTTCCCAGTCAACTTGGAAGAAGCATTGGTTACCCTCTGGTTATTTGACATGTATATATATATATATACAGTTGCAGTACAGCAATGGAAGCTAGGCTATGGCCCGTTTATATAGATGATAAGAATGATGATTTACCTACAGTTAAAAAACGGTGATTTTCCATAGCCACGTTAAATTGCCCGTGGGATCCAGAGGGCACTTGGAGTTTGTATTGAAATGAGGGTCATGACTCCATGACAGTAAGAATGATAATGGTGGAAAAAATGGCAAGAGTACAAACAAACATTATATATATACATCATAATATATCAGAATCACAATCATAACATCATGAGATGTCATGAATTTTCATTTCGATTAAAAACATGATGATGATACTTTTTCCCGGCAGCGCCAGGTGACGTCGCCACAGGCACTGTCACCAGCGATCTGCTCGGGGACAGGGTCCGATAGCCCTCAGGGCTGTTGCTCCGCTGCAGCAGCAGCCGCGGGCTGCTGGGCCGCGCTGCTGAGCCCACGGGGACCGCGTGGATCGCAGGGGCCATGGCCAAGGGATGCATGGCGATGAGTCGTGGTGACTGTTACCACGACTGGAAGTGCTGGGATGATATGGGAAGATTAGAGGCTGGTTTGGTGTTGTAACAGTGGTGTTTAGTCTCAGGGTCTTAGTCTAAACCCAGCTGCCACATAATTATGCGATACCAAGCGTTCATTTCCAGGATCAGGCAAGTGGGGTTGTGGGCGGAAGGAATTGCCCAGGCGGAAGGAATTGCCCAGGTGGAACCCCAGTCACAAGAATCACACGTGGCCCACAATGGGCACGCCTAGGTTCAGATTCGCCAAGATAAATTATCTCACTTAAGTCACTAAATTCGTAGCAGGGTTAATGCAAGGTCGTTCAAGGTTTCCTGGAGCATCTGACATGCTTCTGTGCCATGATCACTCCCCCATGAGATTGTGTCCCAGGCTTGTCGGCAGGGGAAGCCCCACATCTGGTGCTTGTGGCATTACGCTGGCTTTCGATGCAGCCAAATGTCTGTGGGCGATGCACCGCGAAGAATATGCCCAGGCCCGAAGAACATGATCCAAATACGGAATTGCACGGGGATGCTTGACTGGTGGCTGGTTGATCCATGCATTCCAATATTTGATTGTCAAATAGGTTGAGATCATGAGCCCGGGGATTGAAAAAGAACCGTTCAAAAACATCAGCTAGGAGGATGTTAGTGCCAAGTGGTCACTGGTTAAGAACCACTGTTGTAACATGTTGTAATCCAAGGGTTGGAAACTTAGACAAGCAAGGGTCATGAACCCGATCCTGATCCCCATTGAATGCTTACCCAAAATGTCCCAACAGTCTTCACAAGAAAAGTGGTTAAGCAGGGGATAGTGAAGAGACATGGACATCAAACAATGACCCCTTAAGTTGTCTAGACTCTAGGAAAAATTAACATGCCACCACCGCCTTTTGAATAATTAAACCTGTCGGCCTGTGGGCATTCCTGTCCCCCCAAAAAAGCAATGATCATCAATGATCTCATGTCAAGGGCTCAACTCAAATTCCCCCCCGGGGCATACATTCCCCGTATAGCAGCTTCCATGGTTGGCCAAGGATGGGATTCGGATCATCGATCCCCAGCCCAGCTTAGCCACCACCGTTGTGGGCGCTGCTTCACTGTTTCTCCCTGTGCCATCCATCGTTGCCCGTTGGATCAAGGATTGACACGACAATCACTGGGGATAGGTCAGCTAGGTTACCCTAAGGTTGCAAGTAGCATACGTCAGGGCATAGTCTCGTCTTTTTTTACAAACGAACGTTTTTTATTTCCAAAACGTGCTGGAAATCTTGGTTGGTACCTGAAATTTAAGTAGCACTGGAATCACCAGGTCATGTTTCTTCCAAAGACTTGTAATGCCATCCATGGATGTGTCTGAAGTGGAATATGTACCATCAGTTTTTGACCATTTGAACTGAGAAGATGTGTGAAAATATGACAAACCATCAAATTGGGCGGTTTTGCCTTAGATGTTCATGCAAGCCCACATCTCAAATTCCAACATCTCAGCTCCTCCATCTGTTTGGCAACTTCAAATGAAACGCAACCCCATGGTCCAAAATGCCATGGAAATTCTCAGAACACGCTCACCAAAAACTCATTCCACCTCAAGGTGTGAAGCCTGCTTGGCCAGGCCCCTCGCTCGATCCATCCACTTGCTGTCATCTGGGGAAAACTGTGGATCAGGCTTTGCAAACTGTTCGGCAAGGTCACTCCCTTCAGACTCTGGCAAATTCCACCAAGGGTCAAGCTTTGGGGATGGATTGGGAAGGTCACTCCGGCTCAAGCTGTTGGCTGTTGGTCCCAAACACAGCCAATAGTCAAACTCAACAAGCTGTCCGGCAAGCTTACTCTTTCTAGGCTCTGGCCGAAACAGAATCCCAAAGTCAAGCTCGTCAGATTGCTGGGAAAAATCATTCCTTCCAGGCTCTGACTGAAATCACGTCCGAATGTCAATCTTTGCAAACAGCTTGGAAGGGATACCCGTTCTAGGCTCTGGTTAAAATCATCACCAAAGGCCAAGCTTCGCAGGCTGCTTGGCAAGGTCACTCTTTTGAGGCTTCTGTTGAAATGACAGCCAAACGCCAAGTTTTGCAATTTTTTTGGAAGATCAACCTGCTCCAAACTCTGGTTGAAATTGTATCCGAACGTCAAGCTTTGCAAACCGTCGGACGAGGTCACTCGGTCAAGGCTCTCGCCCAAGAAATTATCCACAGTCAAACTTTTGCAGACTGCTTAGAAGGTTCACTGTTCCAAAACATTGGTGCAAAGCATGGCCGAAAGTCAAACTTTGCACACTGGCTGGCAAGGTCACTTGTTCCAAGCTCTGGTTGAAACACGCGCCAAAGGTCAATGTTTGCAAACTGCTTGGCAAGGTCACTTGTTCCAGGCTTCTGTTGAAATCATTGCCAAAGGTCAACGTTTGCAAACTGCTTGGCAAAGTGAATCTTTCTAATCTGAGGTTATCATCATTATGCAATGTCAAACTGAATATTTTTTGTTGCAGATTGCGCAAACTTTGCGCACGTTCGATCACTGTCACCCTCCCAAGATAAACAGCAATGCATCCGTCAAATCTGTTTGGACGCAAACGCATGAGACTATGATTGCCTTTCCAGCGATAACTTGATCCTGCAAACTTTGGTTGAGCGCCAGCGACGAAGCTGGGTGTTGTAGCCGCAGTTACCTGATGTCTCCACATAGCCATCGGCACCGGTGGACATGGTTGGCCGAACTGATCCGAACTGATCCGACTGATCCGACTGATCCAATACATCCCACCAGTGGTTTGCGGGTTTCCGGTGGGAGGGTAGCGTTTCAATGCATTTCATACATATGGGAAAGAGATTACTGAATGGTGAGGCCAGGCCATCGTGTTGCAACAGCATCCTGGAAAAAATGGAAGGACATATCATTTCTAGGCTGAGTTCCGGCATGTTCCGTGTTAGATTTCGCGATTTCAAGATGGTTCACTCTACTATTGGCCCAAAATCTAGTTGGGGAATCCAATCTGATGGAAAGGGGCGGTTCTGGTTAAAATGGGAAGTTAAAAGAAAACTCTCATGAAGGTTCAGCAATTATTGCAGCCCAGCACGGAGCAGTTCACCAATGTAAAGTCAAGTCACATGGACAAACATCACATCACATCAACCTTTCTGGCGGTTATTTGAGCCCGGACTCAGCAGCATCAAATGCTGTACAAAGTCATGATCTTCAACCTGACTTGGATAGTAAACAAAGCAACACAGGTGCGCATGTCATATGAGACGACAGAGGTACGGATCGCCCAAAGAGTGGTTGAACACCAAGAAAAAACATCAGTCGATTTGCCTGATAAAAAAACTCAGTTACCAACATTGTTGAATATTAACCTCTCCATGTATTTGTGGTTGATGCCGTTTTTGCCTATTACATCCTATCACAGGGTGCTGTGGCATAGTTCGCTGGAGTTAGCTAAGTTGGTTTAGTTCACTCAAACAACTCGGGTTTATCTATCACTGTATACTAATCGGGTTTTAAGTCAACTTATAACTATGGGGCACCAACCACGTTTCATTGGCTACTTAAACCGCAACTTTCCAATTGCTACTATACCAGTAGTGCCATTGGCGGAAGTTTCAGAATAGGAAACCTAGAGGAGAGCTTGGTCGTTGTGATCACGGATGGCAGAGCGAATCCACTGATGGACTGCAAGGTGGTTGGAGTTGTGTTTTTTGGAGTGGTTGGTTGCAATGGTTGCAGTGGTCACCTCACCTGGTCGGTCGCCTCACCCACAACTGCTGGATGTAGCGTGGTGTAGTGCAGCGGTAGCTGTAGTTGTAATGTAGTGGAGTTGTAGTTGTGGTGTAGTGTAGTTACAGTTGAATTGTGGTGGTGCAATGGGTGTAGTGTAATGTAATGTAGGGTAGTGTAGTGTAGTGTAGTGCAGCGTAGTGTAGTGTAGTGTAGTGTAGCGTAGTGTAGTGTTATGTAGATGTAGATGTAGTTGTAGTTGTAGGTGGAGTGGAATGGAATGGAGTGGAGCGGAGCGGAGCGGTGTGGAGTGGCGTGGAGTGGAGTTGAGTGGAGTGTGGTGTAGTGCAGTGTAACGTCGCGTATTGTAGTGTAGTGTGCAATAGTTGTAGTTGTAGTTGTAGTTGTAGTTGTAGTTGTAGCGTAGTATAGTGTAATTGAGTGTAGTGCAGTGTAGTGTAGTGAAGTGGAATGTAGTGTAGTGTAGTGTAGTGTAATGTAATTGGTGTAGTGTAGTGTAATGTAGTGTAGTTATAGTTGTAGTTGTAGATGTAGTTGTAGCATAGAGGAGTGTAGTGTAGTGTAGTGGTGGTGGTAGTTGAAGCTGCCACAAATCCTTCACGTTTTGCTCACTTTGTGCAGAATCCCTTGCGCCTGCCACGCTCCGAACGTCCAAAAGTGCTCCGAAACCCCGCAGTTTTTTCCACTTTTGACTTCGAAATGTGCTTCAGGCCACAACGACGTACACTTTTTCGACATCTCAACTTCCAAAGGTGGTCCGAACATGGTGTGATGTTTTGATTGTTTTGTACATTTTGACTTCGAAATGTGCTTCGCACCACAACCGCTTGCATTTGTTCATCTCTCATCTGACGACATGGCTCCGCACCCGCCGCTTTAGCGAGCCTACTTTTCGACTCTCCGGAGCCACAAATGATTGGAAAAACAAAAGTTTTTCGCGACTTTCCTACCTTTTCGCGGGCGCACCTGCATCTTCTTTCTTCTCACTCTTTCTCTTCTCTGATCTTCTCTCTTCGGCTCTTCTCCTCTCTGACTCTTCCCACCTCTGCTTTTCCATCTGTCCATGTTGTCGGAAGTTTGACTTCTAAACTTCCTTCGGCTAGTGTCTACCCCATTACACGAGTGGCTTCCAAACATGTTCTGGGAAGGTGTTTGAATCCTCCAAACTTATCTAAATCACCTTTTCAGGAAATGTTTGGAAGTCAAAGGACATATCCACCTAAGGTCTCTCAACAAAGTCTGCGGTCCCAGCGCAGCTTCCCACATTTCTGTCTCACAGTTTCAATGCTTCTGCTTCATCGAAGCCTCGGATGTTGAAAATTTACGCCGGGGGGTCGAAGTGGCATCCCATGGTATCCCATATCATGCACGTACTGGTATTTGGGATATTTACTTAATTCAAATGAAGTCTACCTAGACTTGGGAATCATTGGTGATACTGGCTTCAGCACCTGCTATAGGAGGGGGCGCGCGCATCCAAGTGACACCTTTTCATGACGGATGCACCAGGTCAAATATGTCCATCGACGCTTCCGCTCATAGTATCATAGTTTGCCTTGAATATTTTTTGTTCAATCTGGAGCAACTAACTGGTAGCTGTGCAGAAGAACCCCAAGGCGTACGGCATATGTGCCTCACCCAAAACAGAAAAGAGCATGGAAGACAAAGTAAATAACCAGCGCAAAACCAGTCCAATCTTCTCATAAAATCTGCTTTCTTCCTAAGGTCCTACGACGCTCACCAAGCATAGCGCTAGCGAAAAAAATACCAATTGTATCCACTTCTTATATTGTTTGAATATCTGCTAATGATTCTAATGATTTAATGTTTTGTTGGTAAATGCGATCTCCTGCCACACTAAAATGCACATTTCAGATCATTTCTCCTGAATAAACTCCCATTGTTTAACAAACATCGTCGCCACCCAACCCCTTATACTCCTTAAAATCCCCAATGCAAGCATTAGAATGGTAGTTGGTTCATATCAACATGCTTCAACCACCAGCAACATCTCAACCCCCATCCCAACACCCCGGCATCGGCCCAGCCGCACTTCATCCGCTGCAACAGACGATGCGCCCGGTCCTTGGTGAACTGCGCCGCAGCGCCTTTTGGGGCGCGAGGGCCCAAGCAGTCGCGCAACGGCGCGAGGGCGGCCGGCAAGGGATCCAGCCACCTGCCACGGCACTGGGAATTGGGAGCAATGGAGGTAAACTGCACGGAAAATGGATATAATTCAGCGGATTGGCTTAAGGGAAAAGTTACAGGAAAACCCCATACTGAATGGGAAAATCTATGGTTTCCGGTCAAGATTTTCCCTTAAACCAATCCATTGAATAATTAATCCACAAGAAACCCTGAAGTATTGGATCTATACGTTCTGGGGGGGACGACTGTGGGGATAAGCATGGACTACATGAAACCTGCTGGAATTAGTGGATGTTTTATGCAAAAACAAATCGCCAGACTTGCAATCATTTTCCTGTTTTCAAGTCTTCGACCATCTTTCTAAATAAGTAATGCCTGAACCCATCTTGACATCAACATACAAGAAACAATGGGTACAAATGTTGAATTTGAAACATAACCAGTTTTTTTCCACGGGTAGAATCCGGATCAAAGTATCTATCTATCTATGTAATATATATATATATGTATGTATGTATGTATGTATGTATGTATGTATGTATGTATGTATGTATGCGCGTTTCTTGTATCAAAACAAAACACGCAAAACATATGGGTTTATCACAAAAAATACACCAGAGTCGACTGAACACAATTTTCCCCATTGAAACTGCCATAGTTGGGGCATGTATACTGTATACACAACATTTCCGGACACACCCACATCCATTGTTTGTGAGATCTGTTTTTTTTGGACTGAGTTATATTCAAATCATGGCATATAAATCCACAGTTTGGCTCTTGAAATCTTAATTGTTCAAGGTGCAATCCCCATGTGTCCTGGTTGGATCCCTTTTTTTTCTGGGTAAAGTCACCATTTTGGTTGGTGAACGCCTAGTTTTTGTTGGTAAAGTCACCACTTTGGCTCTTGAAACCACCAAGAACTCAGATGTTCCGTCTCCGTCCCCCGGAGAATGCCCTTTTAGTTGGGCCCTTGGGCCGGACCTCTCAGGCAGGGCGGAGAGGAAGCGCTCCAGCAAGTCCAGCTCCTGACGCATGTGGATTTAGAGTACAGGATGGGGCCCCCAAGATAGCTAAGATGCCTTATAAGTGGCTTAACTATGGTTTATGGTAGATATAACTAGGAACACTGCCTTTAGAAGGCCGTAGTGTTTTTGTGATCAACGGGGTGCCATGGATGATGTTTCATGTGGTCGTGCCAATAGGATTTTTTTTGATGCGTTTTTAAAGGCGAGAAACCCCTTATTCTGGAGCATAAAATAAAAAACAAGCATTCCGCCTAGGCGAAACTATCATTTTTGATGTTTCTCAGAACTCCCCAAATAATTCGACCTGTAATGGTGTGATATGAGTTTAAAGGCGAGAAACCCCTTATTCTGGTGCATGAAATCAAAAAACAAGCATTTCGGCTAGGCGAAACTACTTTTTTTTTTGAATTTCCACATGTTATGTCATGATGAAATTGGCACAGCCTGCCAGACGACCATGCAACCGACCTGGATTTCCACATGCAACCTTGTCACGTATAAATATCTAATTCCTATACGTGCACAAGTCCAGAGAACTTACAGGAGCGTAGCATGACGTATCAGTGAAAAGCACCAGAGAACTTACAGGAGCGTAGCATGACGTATCAGTGAAAAGTACCGGAGAATTTACAGGAGCGTAGCATGACGTATCAGTTAAAAGTACCGGAAAAACTTACAGGAGCGTAGCATGACGCATCACTTAAAAGCACCAGAGAACTTACAGGAGCGTAGCAGGACGTATCAGTGAAAAGCACCAGAGAACTTACAGGAGCGTAGCATGACGTATCAGTTAAAAGTACCGGAGAATTTACAGGAGCGTAGCATGACGTATCAGTTAAAAGTACCGGACAACTTACAGAGCGTAGCATGACGTATCAGTGAAAAGCACCAGAGAACTTACAGGAGCGTAGCATGACATATCAGTGAAAAGCACCGGAGAACTTACAGGAGCGTAGCATGACGTATCAGTTAAAAGTACCGGAAGACTTACAGGAGCGTAGCATGACGTATCAGTGAAAAGCAGCAGAGAACTTACAGGAGCGTAGCATGACGTATCAGTGAAAAGCACCAGAGAACTTACAAGAGCGTAGCATGACGTATCAGTTAAAAGTACCGGAGAACTTACAGGAGCGTAGCATGACGTATCAGTGAAAAGGACCAGAGAACTTACAGGAGCGTAGCATGACGTATCAGTTAAAAGTACCTGAATACTTACAGGAGCGTAGCATGACGTATCAGTGAAAAGCACCAGAGAACTTACAGGAGCGTAGCATGACGTATCAGTTAAAGTACCGGAGATTTTACAGGAGCGTAGCATGACGTATCAGTTTAAAGTACCGGACAACTTACAGAGCGTAGCATGACGTATCAGTGAAAAGCACCAGAGAACTTACAGGAGCGTAGAATGACATATCAGTGAAAAGCACCGGAGAACTTACAGGAGCGTAGCATGACGTATCAGTTAAAAGTACCAGAAGACTTACAGGAGCGTAGCATGACGTATCAGTGAAAAGCACCAGAGAACTTACAGGAGCGTAGCATGACGTATCAGTTAAAAGTAGCAGAGAACTTACAAGAGCGTAGCATGACGTATCAGTGAAAAGTACCCGAGAACGTCCAGGAGCGTAGCATGACGTATCAGTGAAAAGCACCAGAGAACTTACAGGTGCGTAGCATGACGACTCTACTTACCCAGCAAGTTCACATGAACGTTAATACCTGCCCCTCCCCACCCCACCCCACCGATGTCTGCACGCACATACCGGCACACACAGAGACGACTCTACTTACCCAGAAAGTTCACATGAACGTTAATTTAATACATGCCACACCCCACCCCACCCCAACCCCCCGATGTGCACGAAACACCACGGCCTTCTAAAGGCCGTGCTCCAACTAGTTAATGGGGTTTACAAGCGTTTATAAACCAATATATAACTGGGGGGCTCCATCCGGTATGGTTTAGCCATGTATTTACCACCTATTAGCCACCTACTGTGGATGGTGGATGGTTGCGAAATCCTGCGCCACCAAAAGGATGGTTGAAAGTCTATAACAATTGAATGTTTACCACCTATCAATTGGTGCAGGATTTCGCAACCATCCATAGTATTAATGGGATATCAAGATTGTTTTACCACAAAAAAAAAACATGTGATTTAATGTGGCAAAACTCGCCGTGTCAATGGGATATCAACACAAACTTGATAGTTATATAAATATCTAAATTGGGAAAACATATAAATAAACATGAATTAACCGAATAGGTGTTCAAAATCACTGGAGTCACTAGTTTTCATAACCCCGGAGTGGATTTTTTTCCATGAAATTTACCACCGATTGGATAGAGAGATCGCGTGTATAATTAAAATGTTTACGAATTATTACATGATATTATGATTTAAAAAATGATATGATCCAGGAGTATATGTGGTAATTTGTTTGGAACCTTGTCAAAATATTGCAGCTATATTGGGGTAACACAACTTTATCTATGATACTGTTTCTCCAGATTAATTACAGCATGTGAACAAATGTTGCCGCACTTTATGGTCTATGATAATTCGCGAAGCTGAATATGTTATGTATATATATATATATGATTTGTCTATGATTGATAGATAGCGCTGATTCTTATTCCCACTCATGTTTTCAGTATCGTAATAATTATATAAATAAAAATTAAATAATAATTAAATAATAATCACAAAAAAACAATGAAATAAATAACTAAATAAAAAACAATAATAATTAAATAACTTTACTTCGAGTTATCCCCACTATGACATTTATACGTTTTGTTATTGGCAAATCTTCTGGCATTCTATCTGGCATAGCTTCTGGCATTCTATCTGGCATATCTTATGGCATTTTATCTGGCATATCTTCTGGCATTCTATCTGGCATATCTTCTGGCACACTTTCTGCCAATCTATGTAGCACATCTTCTGGCATTCGATCTGGCATTCTATCTGGCATATCTTCTGACATTTTATCTGGCACATCTTCTGGCATCCTATCTGGCATATCTTCTGGCATCCTATCTGACATTTTATCTGGCATTCTCTCTGGCATACCTTCTGGCACTCTATCTGGCATATCTTCTGGCATTCTATCTGACATTTTGTCTGGCATACCTTCTGTCATTCTATCTGACATTCTATCTGGCATACCTTCTGGCATTCTATCTGGCATAGCTTCTGGCATTCTATCTGGCATAGCTCATGGCATTCTATCTGGCATATCTTCTGGCATTCTATCTGACATATCTTCTAACACTCTATCTGGCATATCTTCTGGTATTCTATCTGGCCGTTGAGGTCCAGCAGTGCACACTGAGCTGGGAAGGTCCCAGGTTGAGGTCCAGCGGTGCACGCTGAGCTGGGAAGGTCCCAGGTTGAGGTCCAGCGGTGCACACTGAGCTGGGAAGGTCCCAGGTTGAGGTCCAGCGGTGCACACTGAGCTGGGAAGTTGGCAAAGAGCTTGGCGAAGAGTTGGCAAGGCGGAAGTTGAGGTGGAAGTTGATGCAGACATGGTCGAGGAGAAACTGGAGGAGGAGGCAGAGGAGGAGGAGAAGGCGGAGGACGAGGAGGAGGAGGAAGAGGAGGAGGACGAGGAGGACAGCTAGCCGAGGAGGAGAACAACTCTGATAAAATCTAACAACCCTCACCTGGCAGGTGGGGAATAATAATTAATCACTATCTGAGTAAGTATTGAATGGTCTTTACATACCTAAAAAGTAAATATCTCAGGATCTCTCTCTCTTTCTCACTCCATCGCCATCAGGTTGAGTCCTGTCTGTTCAAAGGCTGGCTGGTTTGGCCCGGAGCGGCTTGGTTGTGACCATATGACATATAGACTTACTTACCATCTGGTTATGACTAACAGTTTGCCATGGAAAGATCCACCTATTTTTAATAGGTAAACCATCTATTTCTATGGGCCATTTCCCATGGCTATGTTAAATAACCAGAGGATATATTTTGGAGCACGTAAATATGCACTTCTCTTTGTCATTGCCATCCTTTTGGTGTGTCATATGCATGAGACACATGAAGATCTGCTAAGCAGGTTACAAATAAACATCTGCACAACTTTTGCACATATGTCATATCTAAATAGACTTGGATAGCACTAACAATGTTACCAGTTAATATGTGTATATAAATATTATGCTACTGTATTTATATTTACTGCAGATATTCACGCAATTTCCTGAGGTTTGGCCCATCGCCCCGGTATCAATCTGCGCCCTCCGGCCCGCACCTCCACATGAAGACGTGGCTCTTGCAGGTGAGGAGCAATGCCTGGTTGCTGAACATGTCTTATAGATGATTTGATGGATATTCATTCATCCCTATATATTCCTATATATTCCTATATGTTCCTATTTATAAATTCCTATATATTCCTATTAATATCTATCTATCCATCTATCCATCTATCCATCTATCCATCTATCCGTCCATCCACCCATCCATCCATCGATCTATCCATCCATCCATCCATCTATCCATATATCCATCTATCCATCTATCCATCTATCCACCTATCCATCTATCCATCTATCCATCTATCCATCCATCCATCTATCTATCCATCTATCCATCTATCCGTCCATCCACCCATCCATCCATCGATCTATCTATCTATCTATCTATCTTTTACTTAATGGATATTTAAATACCCATTATCTATATAAATATATATATATATATATGTATATATAGTGTTTCATGGGTATCACAAAATGTCCATTACAAGGTGATGCCGCGGGCAGTTATGTTTGTTGGTTTACAAACTCCATGAAGAATAGATCACATCTACCATCAACCCCAGTCATTGTACGTAGTTATAAACCAACTCAGCCGCTATGTAGGGGGCACCACATTGCATGGAAATGGATGAAAATGGACCATTTAGTTCCATGATTTACCTAGTAAAACTTGTGTGTTTTCAATAGCAAACTTTAGCAGAAGGTACAGAAGCTGCTGATTTTTCATGGGAATCACACATCCAGAAATGGGGTCTGCGGACAAAACCCAGCAATAATGTTGACGCAGGATTTTGCTAAGCCCCTAGATATTGTTTAAAATAAATAGGGTGAGGCCAAGTTCAAAAATATCTTTGATAGTAATGTATTACTATTTTGGGGGGAACCATCCCAATTAAAAAGTCACGGTTTAGTTTCATCAGGGGCTGACAATTTCAGCATCTCTTTCTCTCATTCCTCTCTTGCTCACACTCTCTTTCTCTCTCTGGCCCTCGATGCAACTCAATGTATGATTGTCATACAATGACACATGCATACATGCTCAAATGCAGCTCATGTGTCAAACATCTACATGACCGGATAACCAGGATGTCTCTAAGTTGTCATTCTCGCTGCTGGACATGTTGTTAAGCTACATGTTGAGATATGGAACCATTTCCTTTGATCTCCAAACATGGATATGTTTTCATGTCCTAAATTCAATTAAATTCAACCATTATAATTGGCACAAGGGTATCATTGATACCATCTTCCCCACATGGTCACTTGTCAGCGCCGGCCACTGGCCGAGGGACGTGTGGCAAAGATCTCATGGAGCACCAGTGGTGCCAGGTGCTCATCTGCGATGCGACCTTCTAACTGCGCCGCGCAGTGCGCGATCCTTGTCGGTCATCCAACTGCGGGTTGAATCCGGTCCCATAAAGGGCCGAACACTGCGGGTGTTCTCTGTTTGGACCCATAAGACAATACAATTTCTTGTCACCTGTAGGGTAAACATGGGTAAACTATTGTAGAATCCAAATTGGTGAGTGCTCACTCTTCTCATCCCAGGGGACATCCTAGAAGTGGTGCGGCAAGTTCGTAATGCCGTGATGGGAAAGCTGCGATTCCAAACTACCAAAAGCACCAACTCGGTGGGAACTTCAGGAACCTAAAATGGAGGTACCGTACTATATGAGGCAATATTTGGTAGGGATATTCCAATATTCCCTTACATAGCCCTGAAAAATAGGCCTTATATTTGGCGGTAGGTACCTCCAATTTAGGTCTGAAATGGGCATTGGCCAACCCGGTACGCAACTGACACCGTGGCACTTGCAGGACCTCCAAAGTAGACGCTTGCGCGCGTCTGAGCGGTACCAGTCAGGCACCAACTCTGCTGGTACGAAAACCTCCTGGTGAGGGTTAGCTGGTGGCTTGGAATCCCAAGATTGCCTTGCTGTATATAAAAGGGGAGACTACGGGGTATTCTCAGGAATCCGAACCACTGATCAAAACCACCAGGTAGCCTTTGGTTGATTGGATACCCTGGAGGGAACAAAGTTGCTGGGCTAATATATTCCGATTTATGGCAGAAAAAGCTGGCATGAACTTTCTTGACCCAGGTTGACCCAGAAAACCAACTCCAGCTGGCACTTACTGGGAGCACAACAGCTTTTGTTGATGTGAAAGAAAACAAAATATATAGGTAGAACAGTGCATATTTTCTGGTATGTTCTGAATGATGCTTACCTGAAGAATACTCTCCAGGATTCAAGTTGGTCTGTCTGAGATGTCAAAGTTCCGCAGCCCAATTTGTATTCCATTTATAGCCCCAGTATCCCCCTTATAACATGGTCTATCTGGGGTTGCCTTTGGGAAATTGTCTCAGCTCGACTGGGGCTTCAATCACTTCAACCATAGTACACTGGGATCACCACAAGTGGGGACCGCTTTCTTGCAATGGCAGTGCTGATTCCCCAATATTCCCCATGGCGCAACATGTACCCTCCACTAACATAGTTATGGATGCCCATTAGGTTCGATGTCAAACGTTGTAATATACACAATTGCCTCAGCTGGCTAGAATTCACTCTCGCTGAGCTGACGATCGCTACACAGTCGTTGGGAATATCGGCAAAAATCATCAAAAATCCAACGTTGAAAATTACATAGCCCTGGAAAGGGGTAAACTAACATAGCCCTGGAAAATTACAACGGTTGATAGGTAAATCATCGAACCTAATGGGCAATATCCATAGCTATGTTATGTTAGTTTATCACAAACTTAAGAATGCATCCCAGATCGTAGGGTATTAGTTTGTAGGGGTTTGCCCGTTCATGATTTTCAGGAATGCCTACCTGATCTCAGAAATGCCTAGGTGATTTGAAAATGACATAGGCATTTCTGAAATTTAGGTAGGCTAATCTGAAATTTGGTAGACTAATTTGTTGTCCAGAACGTTGTGCAAACAAATGTGGCTTCATTTTTTTACAAAATATTTTAAAAAAATATATATTTTCAAAAAGATAAAATCTAAAATATGGTAAAACGTTGATTGAACGTTTACCTGCGGTTGTGTTATTATTGTGAAGAGTCTTCTTAGTAGACCTCACCTGCGTGAATTGAATCATGTCATTGCTTCGATCATGTGTGTGACTTGTGTCAATTTTGTCAATTGAACCGGTCAATTCTGTCAAAAAAAATGAAAAAAATGTCATTTTTTTAAAAATAAAATAAAAAATCACTAGGCAAGAAATCATGCCATGCCCAACATGCTTTGACCCAAGCATGCAGAAACACAAATCGACAATTGTCCAAGTGGGCAAAAGAATGAAGATGAGAAGCTGAACTCAATTAGTCAGTCAGTCAATTGTTTCAATTGCCACAATCAGCTGAAGTCAATTGATCCAATTGCCACTTCTCGCCGAGCCTGCAAGCAAGTTATTAAGAATTACTTTTGAAAAAATGCAAGCAGGACCAGCAACAAACAGTAGGCAGGCCTAGAGCGTCATCCAGACCTGATCTGGTTCTTGAGTCTTGCTTTGGGAATGCGAATGGGAATTGATATTAATAAATGTCAAAGAAGTCAAGCATGCCTGCATTGAACTCGTGGTAGCGGAGCAAGCTTGGTAGCGGAGCAGAACAATTCCAACCTCAGTACACATATTTGAAGTACAAAAAGCCAAAGGGCTAATGACTCAATTGAGCTAATTGACTGAAGCACATGAGATGGCAAGCGCTGAACTTGCAGTGCTCTGTCACTGATTGCGCATTTTTTTTGCTGGAGCAAATGCCATGTTGCCTCTTGACCCCACAGAGACGGTCAAAGTTGACAGAGGGACGCACCACTCTCCAGGTGAGTCAGCACAAAAGAACCCTTGGGCTATAGTACTCTTGTCGCATTCAAGACACTTTTGAATGGACAACGCTGAGCAAATTGAGCGTTGTGAAGTTTTCACGAAGCTCGAATCTGCTCGTAGATTTGGGCGACACAAGCGCCAAACTCTGGCGTGTAGTGCTCGCTTTCGATGAGCATCTCCTTATTGCCAGTGTAAGTGTGGCTTCCATCCCAGCTCTGGCCACTGGAAGCCAAATTGTCCAAGCCATCTGGCCTTGGCCTGGCGATGGCTGCAAATAGGGAGCCAGGCCCTGAAGACGGATGCCAGATCTGGAGAGGCTTGCTTGTTGGGCCAGCAAAGCTTCCCATGTAGGTCACTGTCTTCTTGAAGTCGAAGAACCACAAAACATTACGAAGGGATGGTAGTTTTGGAAGCACACTCCCTGTGGGTTGCTCCAACACCGGAATGCAATCCAAGAGGAAACTGAAGAACATCATCATTGCAGTTACTTCCTGTTGAAGGTTGCCCTGCTCCACCCATGGCCTGCTTCTATCCCCGTAGAATGAATTCTCCTCATATCTCATGCTTTGAGAGATACAGAGCGGGACGAAGCTCGAGCATCTGGTAGCAAACCAGTGTAACGACTTTCGCCGAGAAGCCACTACCATGTCAAACCAAGTCCTCAGCCCCTTGGAACTCAACATGTCATGGTGGGGATGAAAAAGAATGTCCACAGAAGCTCCTTGGTGAAATCCTTGACGCAGCATCTCTCAACTGAGATGGGCTCGGCCAGCACAAAACTCAACAAATTCCAATTGATCCAATTCATTGAAATTGACCAAATTGAAAAGAAACCTTTCAGCAACCAGCACCATCATCTCCAAGCACGATGTTGCGCCGCGCAAAAAAGGATATGCTTCACACAAAAATGAAGGCCACACTTTCGAGGCCCTGCCGCCATTCTCTTGGTCAAAATCAAGAAAGTCTTGACATGTGGACTTGACATGATGCAGTCCTTCTGGCCAGTCGACACGCCTGCAGGGCAATTAACAAAATGGACTTCGAGGTTATTCATTGATCATCAAAGAATGATTTCAATTTCAATGCATGTTGTCTCAATTTTCCAAGAACAAAAACAGCATCAGCGCCTATTGAATTTGCTGAAGGCCAAGAAATCATAGAAATCTAACGAAGAAATCTGTTGGAGCTTGTCATCCAGCCATTTCTCTTGATCGTCATCTTCTGAAGCTGCACTTGGGCCTTGAAGGCTGGCACTGGCTGTCACAGTGGACAGCACCATCACCGGAAGAAACGCGAGGCCAGCTTGCTGGTCCATGATGAATAAATTGACACAAATGACCAAAATGGCAAAACCAACAAATGTGCTCATGGGCCAAAAAACCTGCGGTAAAAGAATTAATCAATCCAGTACACAATTTTGTTTGGTTTCTTCACTGACAACAATACCAGTCCAAGGCTTCTGACCCTGCGTATAAAAGTAAAGGCTTCCTGAGTCCTTGGCCTGATGATGAATCTGGCAGCCTGCATTGGCATTGAAAGACCATCCCGGCACAAACTTCAAGCTTCAATACCACTGGCCACTACACAAATCAATCTGGTTCAAGTCAATTGAGTCAATTCACAATGACACATGACAAGCAGGCCCCAACATTTGACAAAGCATTGAAAAATACCATCCAGGTGCAACCCTCAGGCTGTAATACCACACAAATCAATCAATTGAGTCAATTCACAATAAACACAAGCAGACCCCAACATGTGACAGGATTATTTGATTCCTTTTTAAACAGAACAACGAAGGTAAAGTATCAGTCAATGTCTGTTACATTGATGATGAAGATGGTAAGCAATCAATCCTACTGTATAAGAGGACTTCAGTTGTCAAAGCAACTCACCACATAGACCTATTGAAAATAACTGATGGAGACAATCACCACTATGTTTATATCAAAGGTTTTAACAAATTGATGTATCAACAGGCTGGTAAGCGGAAAGCAAAGAAGTTTATTTGTCATCATTGTTCGGGTGTGTTTCATTCAGAGGATGATTTAACCAATCATAAGGAAAAGGGATGTATGGCAGTGGAAGGGCAAACTATAGAGATGCCAAAGTTTGACCCAGAGAACCCTGACAAGTTCTTCGTTAAATTCAAGAACCACTTTAAGAAACTAAAAGCACCATTCGTTATATATGCTGATTTTGAATGTTTGACTACCAAAACAGGAACAGTAAGCACCAAACCAATCAAGACTGACAAATACCAACATCACAGACCCTGCGGTTTTATGATAAATGTTGTCAATTCAATTGATGCTTCAAATGAACCATTCCTATATAGGGGTGAGGATTGTATGGATGTCTTCGTGAAAAAGATGATTGAAGTAAAAGATAAGATAATGGAGAAGATGAAAGAAAACAAGGACATCATTATGAAGGACGAAGACTGGAGGGACTTTAAAACCGCCACTAAATGTTTCATTTGTGGTGAGGACTTCAA